CTTGGGAAATGCTTCCACCAGTTAGCTCATAATGGCAGATGAGATGTCACCCAGCTGCGTTAACAGGGACAGTTAATGTGCTGGGCCCAGCCACTGACCTTTCTCGCTGACCCGGGCAGATCGCAGGGTCTCTAGAGGGAGGAAGAGTGACAGGTGAGATGGCGCCGTTGTGTTTGTGGTACGGTTCCCGCTATTCATGTACCTGGGTGGTTACTGTGGAAACAAGACTGACTGGCCACCAAGGGGACAAGCTCCAATGGGAAACAACTGATCTTAGAGGTGATATTTATAGGGGACCATCTTAGAATCAAAGAATACTTTGACTGGAAGGGACCTCAAGAGGTCATCGAGTCCAGTCCCCTGCCCTCATGGCAGGACCAAATACCGTCTAGCTATCCCTGATAGACATTTATCTAACCTGCTCTTAAATATCTCCACAGATGGAGATTCCAAAAACTCCCTGGTCAATTTATTCCAGTGTTTGACCACCCTGATAGGCAGGAACTTTTTCCTAATGTCCAACCTAAACCTCCCTTGCTGCAATTTAAGCTCATTGCTTCTGGTTCTACCCTCCAGTGGCTATGTCTACACTGGCAGCTTCTTGTGCAAGGACTGTTTTGCGGAAGAGTTCTTGCGCAAAAAGTCTTCCACAAGAGTGTCCACACTGCCATGTGCTTTTGCGCAAGAGCATCTATGACAGTGTGGTTGCTCTTTTGCGCAAGAAAGCTCTAATGGCCATTTTAGCCATAGGGGTTTCTTGCGCAAGAAATTCACGTTGCCAGTCTACACTGCCCTCTTGTGGAAGAGCTCTTGTGCAAGAGGGCTTATTCCTTGTGGGGAGAGGAATAACTCTTCTGGAAGAAGCCCTGTTTTGCGACGCTAGACTGTAAATTTAATTGTGCAAGAACGAATGTTCAGTGTAGACAACTGGCAAGTTTTTGTGCAAGAACAGCTGTTATTGTGCAAGAAGCCGCCAGTGTAGACAGCCTCAGAGGCCAAGAAGAACAAGTTTTCTCCTTCCTCCTTATAACACCCTTTTAGATACCTGAAAACCTCTCTCATGTCCCCTCTCAGTCTTCTCTTTTCCAAACTAAACAAGCCCAATTCTTTCAAAACAGGCAGATAGCAGGAGTGGGGTTTGAACCCAGACAAACACACATCCATCGAAACTCAAGTCCAACACCTTAACCACTCAGCCACCCTGGAGGGGCTAGTTACACTCCCCGCCCACCACCTGGCTCATGCTGATCTGTGCACCCAGCTAAAGAACGGTCTCTCCTTCCCGCTGTTCTTAGCTGTGGCACCCTCATTTACCCACGCCCTAGAGGGAACTGGCCCCAGGTATCGCTAGGACCAGGAGACAGACACCAGCCACAAGGCTGGGAGCTGGCCTCGAACGGAGCCAGTTAAATTCTGTCTCTTTCTTAGCCTGGGTCAATGCCGCATTCCCATCTCTCACTTCCCTACCTTTCCTCAGGCAACGGAGGTAGCGTCATGCCTGCCAAACCCCACTGAGCACAGCCTGAGCACAGCCACCTTGTGCCCAGTGCCAGCAGCATCCCAGGCCAGCTGGGTAGTTCCTTGCTGTGTTTGTGTTATTTCAGCAGCCCCAGCCATGCAGCATAGCCGGGTAGCTGGTGCGGTGGGTTCTCTGAAAGGCCCAGGGACCAAGACAGTGGCAGTTAATTGTTCTGACTTTTAGTGCTTGGAAACGAGCCCACCAGCACTCTCCGTTCTGTGGGCTGAGACATGCCTTTGACATACAACTCAGACAGGCGTATCCCTGTCATCTAAGCATGGACTGAACCCACATCATGCACCTGTTAAACCAACCCTCTCAAACTCCCGGCCTGAGGGCCAGCTATGGCCCAAGCACTTCCACAATCCAGACCACGTGTGGCTTCCCGTGCATGAGCCCCAGGGGCCCAGGTGGCTTCTGCTGCAGTGGTGGGGAGACCCCTGCTACTGGCCCCAGCCTGCTGAGGCTGGGGCACTGACCCTTCCATATGACAGTTGGGGTGGCTCTGCACACACTCTCCTGGGCCCTAGGGTTGTGCTGGCAACAGTGTGAAGCTAGCAGTCAGATAAATTGAGTTTGAGACCCCTGGTTAAAGCCATGAACTAACCCAGTTCACACCCGGTGTGGAGAGTGTGAAGGTGGCACTTCTAAAGGTGCAATGCCCAGTTCCAATGTTCACAAGGACAACACACTGCTCCTCTGAATTACCTGCTCCCATCCCATCTGGGAAACCACTATAACAGGCATTTCCCCTTCCCAGCCCTTTGACACTTGCACATTTCTACGTAATTTTCACAGTCCTTCAGGTGACAAAATCCTCTGGGTGGGACTGTCACATCTGCGTTGAGAAGGTAGGCATTGGACATTCATACCCCTTACACAGCTGTGAAAATTCCAGCATCACTATAAACGTGTAGATCACTGCAGGACAACGTTCCTTTAATTTTTTCCATCCATGTGCTGAATATAATTTTTATGTGCACTGGGGACGTGTGGAGGTGCACCACTAGGAGAAACACAAACCCAGCTGTGGGCACTCTGCTACTCAGCTAGGCAGCTTGGAATCTCTCCTGAGCAGCAGCACAAGCACTCAGCTTACAGGGAACCCTGGCCAAGGGCGGTTCTGTCCTTTGCAACAGGAGAAAACCCTACAGCTGAGCACTGATACTGCAATGGAGCAGTGTAAGTACACCAGGGTCTCAGGCAGGCAAATCTCAGTGTAGATAAGTGCTAACCTTTGCATTTACACAGCCCCTGCCTTGCCCTGCCACA